GGCAGGAAATCACAGCAGCGCCTGCAGTCTGCAGTGATGCCTGCCTGCCCGGGCCACACCCGGCCACCCCGCAGCTCCAGCGAGGAAACAACTTCCTTTTGTGGTCTGACCCTGGCTGGCTGCCAGGGCTTCAACAACAGCCTTGTGATGTGAACTTTTGAAATGTGTTGGTGGCGCAGAATGCTATGTCTAACTCGTGTTTAATGCCCGTCAGCGTTTATGTCTCTTTCCCACGCCCACAGACACAGACTGGCTGCATGTGGGGAGCCAGGGTGTCCGGCCATCTAGGTGCCCGACTGCGTGGCCGGACTCTCTCAGGACGTGTCTTCTGGTTACCCCAAACACGGTCTCTGCCAGGCCGAGGAAGGGTATGGCTCCCTTGGAGGAGGACAAAGACACGGCAAAAGGAAGCTTTACTTCACGTTAGCTGCCTGACGTGCATTAGGTCGTTTTAATCTTCACAGCAATTCTGTGAGGTGTTATGGCCTCCTTTTTACAGCTGGAGAAACTGAGGCTTAGAGAGGTTATTGCACGGGATACAAGCTGCCATTGAGTCAACTCTGTCTCATGGCAACCCCATGTGTATCAGAGTAGAAATGAGCGCCACAGAATTTTCAATGGCAGATTTTTCAGAAGTAGATCACCAGGTCTTTCTTCTGAGGTACCTCCAGATGGACTAGAACCTCCAACCTTTCAGTTAGTGGCTGAATGCATTAACCTTGTGCACTACTCAGGGACTCCTTTGTCCAGGATAACAGAACTAAAATGTGGTGGAGCAGGGACTCTACCCCAACCTGTCTCCTCCAGCAATCTGACTCTTCCCAGACACTCCAGCCCCTCTCTTAGGACCCCAGGATCATTCTCTTTGAGGACAGAAGTAGCCGCACTTCACGGTTCTACTACCTACACTTGCCTCACAGATGACCACTGGCAATTAGAGTTTGAGAAGGGCCAACACAGGCCACGTGAGCTCACTCCAAGTTCATGGTTTGCTTCCCCAAAAGCTTTTGACTTGATTTGTGTTGTTAATTGTCAAAGTAGGTCTATCAAAGTGCCAAAGTCACTGCGCTTCTTTTTTTGATGTTTTCTTGTTTTTCTGTTGTTCATCAATTAAAACAGCTCTGGCCTCACAGGCCCTGTGGAGACACACTTTGGCTCTAACAAGCTCCCTGAACGGTCTCCAGGAAACCCAGACAAGAACGGCCTCCCCAGGGCTGTGGGGACCATGGCCTCGGGGAACATCTAGATCAATTGGCATAACACAGTTTATAAAGACAATGTTCTACATTCTACCTTGGTGAGTAGCGTCTGGGGTCTTAAAAGCCTGTGAGCAGCCATCTAA